TTCCTATAAGCAAACAGAGTAACAGTCTCTTTTCTCAGTTACTTTAAATTAGCCACGAACTCTAAGTACACTTAAGAGTATCACAAGACTTGTACGATTGCCATTCTTTCTTTTCTTTAATTTTACTTTTCTCTGACTGCAAAAGATGAGATGGGCTATGCATGTGTGGACATGTTTTCCTAGTTCCAACTGGAAGTACTTCATTAGTAATGATTAGGACGTGTGATGAATAATTCACTTCTAGGGTACTACTCGACTCCTCTTTTCCATTTAATGCCGTAAACTATTTCACTAGCTCAAAAGGCAAGATTTTAGGGAGATGATTGAGGTAGGGAATTATGCACCGTGATGTACGTTCCTCGAATTCCAATCAGCTACTGGTAAAAGCCCTGGAGACCTTCCCCTTCACATAAGTGACAAACAAGCTATCTGATGCTTGTCAAGTCCTTAAGTCGATAGGATCTTCTGGGTCATTGAGAAGCTTACATTTTCATGAGAAAAAAAGATTTTGTAATGTGTATGTTGACGTTTTCTAAAGTGAAATTTAGCGATAAAAGGCTATTTAATAAAGTTAAAGAACAGGTAAAAGACCTTTTAGATGTTAATTACATTACTCTTAATTGGGTGCAAATTGCAAAAGAATGATGTTTTGCATTGAATTTTTATTGCATAAAATTGTGTTGCTCCATTGTAAACATGTAAAGTGTTAAAATCTATCATTAAAACTATTTTAAAGCTTAAATTAAGTAATTAGGTTTTGTTAAATGAAAATTATGTCGAACTACATATTTTTTACTTGTTCAATAAATAAACTAGTATTGTGAATGAGGTAGGAAATCATGCATCGTGATGAATGTTTTTCGAATTCCAATCAGCTACTGCTACAAGGCCTACTTCCCCCTTTACATAAGGGACAAAGCTATCTGAAGCTATCTGTTTGGCTATTTGATACTTGCCACGTCTTTTTCTCAACAGTATCTTCTGGGTTATTGAGATATTAACATTTGCACGAGAAAAAATATTTTGTAGTATGTTTATAGTCAATTTCTGAAATGAATTTTAAGGTTGAAAAGCTATTTAATAAATTAATAAGTAGAACGTATAAAAACCTTTTACTTGCTAATCATATTACTCATAATTGGGTGTAAATTGCAGAAGGAGTAATGTTTGCGTCAACTTTTTATTAAATGAAATATCAGAAGTGTTAAAACTGTAAAAAGGGTAAAAATCTATAATTAAAGCTATCTGAAATCTTGAACTAAATAATTAGGGTTTGTTAAATGAAAAATTAGTTGAATTATCCATTTTCTAGTTTGATTAAAAAAATAATATTTAGTGTTCATGAGTTACATTTAAATTATTTGATAATGTAATTCGGACTCACTAAATGGCAACCACATAATCTTTTTTTTTTTTAAATTTAAATAAATCAGTTAATATATTTGTGAAATACTAATATGATGTATAGTAAAAATAATGAAATATATAAACTTCTTTTAACTTCGAAATATTTAGTTTAATGTTATGTTCTATGCTATTTTTTTGCTTTATGTGTCAGAAGTTAGAATTTTCAAAGCAAAAGATTAGATTATCAAATTCGAATCCATGGCACTAAGCTATAAACAGTAATCAAATCCCGCATTATACATAGAATAAAAATTGATTTCTTACATTAACTTAATTTTACCAGTGAAACATATTATTCTCATGCGAAATTCTCGCTAAGCGAAAGGACAGCTAGCGACAACTTTAATTAGAAACTCTACAGTCAATTTAATTTAATTTTTCCTCGTATTGCAAATTAAAAGTGTAATAAATTCTAGGATAGGTGAAATAAATCCATTTGTTTGCATAGAAAAATGACGGGAAAATAGATAATCATTCATTTTGATATGGCTATAACTGTAAAATGCATGATAGTGTGCGTTTAACATAGATAAATATATCACAATGCATAAACATCTATAGAATTACTATATCATATAGACCATCTATAGAATTACTATATTATTATAATCGATCTTCACCAAATTGAGTTACTTAGTTATTAATATTAGACCATAACTAATAGATTAACTTCGACTAGACTTAACCAAAAGCAGCAAAACGGAATAAAAAAAAACTACGTAGTTTTATTTGGCAAACTATATCTACATGCAGAAATTTTTATAAAAATTATAACTAGTCAAATTGGTTTTATTCTCTAGACTATATGTAAGATTATTATTATTCCTTGGAATGGAATAAAATATTTCAAAATTGTTGTATTTCCTTGGTGTGATACCACTTAATACATCCACTCTCATTTTCTTCTTTTGTGAAACGAAGAAACATAAGTTACAGTTATAAAACTTCCGAAACATTTGTTTTATGTTTGCAGCAAATTTAATGCTGGCTGCACTTTTTCGTTACACTTACCTCAAAATGTTTTAAAGCAATGCTACTTGCTACTTCTTTAAGTTAATGTTGTTAAGGTTACAGTCAAAGTTAAAAGGAGACTTGTATAATTAATGAATTGGAGAAAATTGGAGTGCTATTTGTCGGTAGTAACATTTTATTTTAAAAGTGAGAACTTATCAATAATGCATGCACGTTCAAAATGCGTTTCAATTGAATTGTTTGGCGCATTTCTCTAGAGGTTTTCGGAAATTAAAAATTCATTCACGGAAAAAATATATCAACACAGATTTTACTGTTGAAAAAATGAAATCGGTTTCATTATTTATTGCTACCAAACATAGAATGCTAAATATTTACATTTTATCAAATCTAATTTTTCAGTACTGTACAAAACAAATATTTTCTAAGCGCTATCTTAAATTACTTCAATAAAAATTTTATGAAAGTAATAAAAATTGGATACTTATTGCCAGAAAAAATATCATGTCCTTTTTTTTTTACAAAATTTTGAAAACATGAATGGGTGAATGAACTATGGGAATACTCTAAGACTTTGAAAATTTTACTGATGCGCTTTGGTATTGATTTTGGTAAAATTAACAATAAAATATGGTTTTAAAATGTGTGATAAAATTTTGCAAATGTGGTAAAATTTAATAATTTTATCACAAAACCTTAGCATGAAATAAAAATCATTTATTCGATTAAATTTATTTTTTAGTTTTGTATTTTTTACTAAATGTGTTGTATGAAGAACTAAAATTTTGATCAAAGCATTTTTGGTAAACCATCACCATATGAATGGAAAAAATGAAATGTTTAAATACCGTGTATTTTGGTTTTATTAACCAGAATTATGCTTTTTTTCAACAAAAATGTTTTATTATTCAGTATGGTAACTGTTATATAATTTTTTCTCCACGTGATTCGAAATGAATTTTTTAGACAGGGATGGAAATCCTGATACGTAAAGTGACTCTCTTAAATAATAAAACAATCGCTCATTAGTGAGAGGCTAGTGTAAGTTCTATAAACACATTTCTTAATACATTTCACCCATTTATAATAAGCATTATAAAGTAGTATAGATTAAATATTATAAATACTATTTTTATGACATTGAAAATAAATTAACAAAGATATTTCTTCGAGTTCTTTATGATGGTAATTTAAATATTAGATAATTTTTCATCTTTTAACAAATTGAGACATCTAAAAACAATTGTTCCCCTTCTTATTTAAATACAAAATCAATATTAACTACATTCTTGATAAAGTGTTTGATGTATTACCTAAACTGACTTAACAAATGTCTTTCTTTTTCATTTCCTAAGTTCTCCTGTGAATTTTCGAGTATTAATAGCTCCCACTTGCTTTGTTCAACTAGCTGTTTAAAAGGTTCATTTTTCGTTTACGTTATAGTAAATTTCGAGCATGTTATTTGCTTTGGCTATTGTTCTGTCTCATTTATGAAATTTACTATCTAGTTGTTTGTCTTAGTAAAATAAGAATGTAATTGCTTTCTATCTCAACATAAATCTTTATTACACTCTAAAGGGCGTATATTTACATTTGTTCTTGAAATGCATTTTACTTACGTACTGTGTCAAGAAATATTTGGAACAAAGAAGTATTGAAAAATTATTTTTATTTATCTTATCCATTGATATAAGGATATTTAAAATTGATGTAATGATATTAAAATTGGTGTAAAGACATTAATTCTGCTAAACTCTTAATTGTTTTATAGGGTATGCATTTAAATTATAATAGACAGAAAAACAATTTTAATAATGTTGAATTCAATTAAATTGTTTACATAATAATATATAAGTTATTTCAAAATTAAGAACTAGAAAAAGTTTAGTTTTCTAAAGAAAGTTCTTAGGTTTTTCCTGAATTTTCAACTGACGGAGCATCCAAAAAAAGTGATTCCGCAATTAGGAAATTTAAAAGGAATTTTCCCCGGTCATCGACGCTTGGTGTAACTTTTAAATTAGTTTTCAATTAATAGTCTCATAAAAATTACCAAACATCTGGTAAAGTTTAAAAAATTCTGGATCAAATTATGGTATAAAGAACTAGCAGTTAGGGCGCATCATCTTTCAAATTCCTTTTACCATAAAATCTGTTCTTATCTCAAAATATTATGCCGCAATTTTTACACAAAATGTTATACCGCGATTTTTGCTTTGGGGGCATCGTCTGTAAAATGCATTTTACCTTAAAATCCATTTTTGCCTCAATTTTTACAGCAACATTTATTTAATTAGAGTGTTTCAGTAATTTATCAGTATGACACAGTATTAATGTGATTAACAGTATTATAGTGATTATCAGTATTATAGTGATTCAACAGTCATTACTGTAAAACATACGGTAAATCAGATTTTTTTGTACCTCAACATGTCTCAGATTTTGCATTAAAATTTACCGACACCCTGAATGCCGTTACTTTTCACCGCAATTTTATCCGAAACTTTTTAGAGGGCAATATCGTTTTCCTTTTTGTTCTTTTGCACTATGATTTCTAACAATCCATAGTAATTAATTATAATTAATTTAAAATAGTTACAAGAAATCATTTAATTATATTTCAGGAGCACCTGAGTCTCCTAGAGAATGTTCTGTTACCAACCAGTCCTCCCAATCTCTTTCTGTGGAATGTGAGCCTGGATACGATGGAGGCTTGACTCAGACATTTCACCTTGAACTTTATAATTCAGTTGTAGAACACTTAGCTGCTAACTTAACAATGATGGATACACCAGCATTTAAAGTTTCTGGATTACCCTCAGGCACAGCATTTGTTCTTGTTCTTTATGCGTCCAATGGAAAAGGGAAAAGCAATTCAGTGGCACTTATGGCATCAACATTGCCTCCGCCAGAAAGAAGGACAGGTAATGTTCCTGTAACGGTTGTTTGATTTTTTCCTTGTGGCTTAAAATATTAAATTATTTATTATGTTCAATATCTTGTTTAAGGTAAGCACCTAAAGTATTTATGCCGTCTGGACCTACTTATTTTTCCATTTTCTAACTGCTACCTGAAATTCGTTTTAAAATTTGGTAGAGGTTGGTTGGGAATACAATTCCGTAAAACATGCTAGAAGCTTTCACCGGTAAGGGTTATGTGTTTAGAGAGCGTTGATTTAAAATCTTTTTTTTCCAGTTTTTTAACATTTTTATTACGCTTATCGTGAAATAAACCCTTTAAAATGTCTCTTTCCATTCACTCATAAGTTGTGCTTTGTTTGTAACATGTTAATTGTGCAGTTAAATATAGGCTGTGCTATCATTATCGTTGATTACACTTATAGCTATAAAATCTCGGGTATTTACTCTGTCTTCAATATTGAAGCCGTTCTCCTTCTTTTTGCTTGGTAGCGTATTTTTTCTCACATGTTCATCTCAAAATTCATTGCATTTGAAAATTTGCTCAAGTTTCAACCTACATTGTCTTGCCTCTTCTGGTAAGTTTATTTTACTCATACGGAATTTTTTGGATGAAATGCTTCATCCAAAAATGTTTACGTTTTAACATGATATTGTTATTTTAAATTGTTTATAAATAATTTATTGAATTCCTTTTTATTGTGTACGTTATTACATCAGAACTATTTTACCTGTTTTATCTAATTTTATTGTATGGACAGTAAGTAAAAGTGTAGAATGTATTTAACCTTTTATTCTAGAGCCAAACTCAGTTTCGCGACAGCCCATAGAAAGCCAAGGCCTTCTGTGTTCATTTCAGTTTTCCAGACCATGGGCTCAAGAGTGCAGGAGCAGATGTTGTAGTTGGGTGGTCAGCCGTACGCGAAATTCCTAGTGTTTAGCTCCCAAGCATGCTTGGAACTCATTTTATAGACCTACTAAAGGGATCAATGGCTGAGTCAATTCTGTCCGTCCCGTGGATTGAATTCAGGACCTGTGGCATGCGAGCGCGAAGCGCTACCACTCTGACACCGGGTGTCACCTTTTACTCTGATTTAACGTATTGTTTGGCATAGTATTTTCTCATCTGGACCTTGTGCTACCAGAAATTATATTTAATTTACATCAATTCAATTACCCATGAGCTCACCTTTATTTAGGGGCGTGTTTCAGTATGTTTTCAGGGCATTTCTCTAAAATATATGAGAATTTTTAAAACTACTTGGTTTACTTTTGTAATCAGTATTTTCTCTATTTTAGAAATAATTGAACTGGAAAAAAAAGTTAAAATTTCATCTTTCCATCTATATGTTGAGACATTGTACGGAAAAATTACGCTTTCCATCATGTATTATCTTTATTTTCTTTGAAAGGAATTCATAGTCTTTTTTTATGCAAAAATATCACGCATAGTTTTGCACATTAAAATATTTTAACGATATCTTTTGTGCTCTCTATGGTTTAATTTGTTTTATAGTAAGTACAGTATATATGAAAAATAAAAATAAAACATTTAATAAGAAACATAATTTGAAACTCTGCTTTCAAAACTTTAATAAATAAAAGCTGTAAGCAACTCATAATCTTAATAAATATCTAATTTACTGCATTGCTATCATTATTATTGAACGGAAAAATTATTAAATTATTTTTAAGTAGGGGGAAAATAACTTTTAGTTTGAAGTTAAAAAAATACAATCATAATTATCATTAGTGAAGCAATGCAACAATGCAAATATAGTTTGTCAAAATTCCTAAGCTTTTACCTTTAGTTAGTTTAGTACATCTATACATTGTAATTTTTTTAACACAAATTATAACAGTATTTTTAAACATTTTTATTGTCAAAAACAAATTAACTTTATTTTTAACTATCAAATACTTGTCATTCGTAAGCTAATTTATTATCAAGTGCAATTCAGTAAATCCTTTAATAGGAAGTAAGTAAAAATATTAGCTAGAATACACACTTCTCTTGTTATAGGCACATACGAGAATCTGTGGGGATTTAATCTTAGACTATGTCAACTTTCATCTATCAAAAGGTACCACGTGATATAATCAAGTTAACGTGTGTTATATACTAGTGATTTGGTATTTAATATTTATAGTGGTAGTTACGCCATAAATCTTTTAATCGATTATCATTTGTTTTAAGACACTGTTTGGTTTTTAATTGTTTATTTAACACAATTAATAAAATGGCAATCAAGAACTATGTCTTTACATTACATAAGTTTCACCTACCTATTTGATTTTGGATTGATAAATTTAAACGTTATATTTATTTATTCACTTTAAAAGTAGCTTGATTACATTTATTTTTAATAGCAGAGGAAGAAATGACTGCAGTGAACCCAATTTTAGGAATACTAATTGGAGCTGTGGCTGTTTTGGTTCTCATAGCTGTTATTGTTATAATCATTGTTCGAGTTCAAACATCCAAGGGCAGTTCTAAAGGTAAAAAAATGACTTATCTTAATTGATATGGTATGAAATAATTATGTTATCTCAGTTACATAAACAGGGTATTAAGTATTAAGCCTTAAAATAAGCAAAGAAGGAATTTTAAACTAAAGACGAAAAACGAGAGTAGATTGCTCTTTAAAACCACACTGTACTAAATGTCAGCTCAAATTACTGCAACAAGTATTGTCACTGATAGAAAAAAACCCATTGTTACGGAACAAAAAATCTTATATAACAATTACCATGAATAATTCAGTGATTTTGCAGCATTAATTATCGTAAAATCACTGAATCTCATTAATTTAACAAATATTTCTGAAAATATTGGGTTATAATATTTTGCGGTAAAAATGGATTTTACAGATGATGCATCTGAATTGCCGGTACTTTTTACTGTCATTTGAAACAAAATTGTTTACAGTGTACTTTCTAAAAATATAAAATCGTAGATATTAAGTTTATTTTACACATGTTCTCAGTGTTTATTTCAAAAGTGATAATTACCAGTTACCAGTGATTATTTTAAAATAGAAAGGAATGCGGCTTAACGAATATGCTTAAATAATAGATTACAAAAATGGTATAAATAAGACACTTTCAAACAATAGATAAATCCAGCAATAGGCTCAAGGTTCTAAGCAAATTAAAAAGTAAATACAAATAAATATCAAAAATACTAGCTTTGTTGTCCATATAATCTAAAATACGGTAAACTTAAAAATCCCAGCAAGCGATCTAACAAAGTTTTAAATAACTTAAAGCAAAACAGAGATAAAGATCTATTACAGTATTGCTTTTATGCTCTTAGAAATATTTATTCGAACAAGATTGTAGCTAGGATTGGGCGATATAAGAAATTTTATATCGTGATGCATCGTCAGTTTCGCATTGCGATATAGCGATGTATCGCGATATAGTATTTTTGAAATTCATTTACTTGTAAGGCGCAGAAAGTCGGAGTTCTATCAAAACTTCGTACTCAGATTGATTTAAATCAATTTATGAATTTGATGTATATGTTTTGCTTAAGAAAGATATTAATGTTATATTTTCGAAAAATGATCACGCAAATAACGAAAGATTTCCTAGTTTAAAAATAAATAATAAAAAAATAAATAAAATTGAAATTCATTAATATATTTACCTAACAATATAGAAAGAAAATTTAAAAAATAAGTTCGTTAAAAATTATTTGTATGCTTAAAACAAAGTGCTAAATAAATTAAACAAAAGAAAAACACTTTTAAAACAACACTATTTTTTATCATTATTATTTCACATAAATAATAAAGTTAAATTGAATAATTATCGAATAATTATCGAGATCACGATATATGTTCTCAAAACTGATTCTGATTCTACCGCTCATCAATCAAGGCCGTTTCAATATAACGATACGTCTTCCCCAGCCTCGAGTTGGCATCGGAGCGTAAGAGATCCTTGCGTATCTTGTATCGCTATATCGTTCGTCTTCTTTACTCGACGGCTTAAATGAGATTTCTGATGCATCACCTGGAACGAAAGTCGCTGTATCGGCCTGCCGATACAGGCGTTAAATCGATATGTCGCGATATATCGATTTATAGCCCAGTCCTAATTATAGCAACTTGTTAAGAAAAAATAAGTGATTTTTTCATAAAACCACTTAAAGTACCAAAATTGTTTAAAGCATAACTACTATACAATTTGAAGTATGATAAATCTTTTTATTCAAAACAAAATGGGAAAAAAAACCATAATTAAGTGTAAAATAACGAAAAGATAAAATTTGGAAAGATTAAATATAAAGTAAATGTATTTCTTATATATTTCTAGAAACAATTGCTTAAAAACCGGAGTAAAGTAATAAAATGAATTATTTTTATTCCATTTCAAAAATTAGCCGAATCGACACAGTTTTTAAAAATGAATCATAAACGTATTTATTTACTTGCTTTCGGCCAAACGGTGCGTGTTTTAAGATTTACAAACGGTATTTGCTACTGAAGTAGAGAAAGACATGAATTATTCAGTAAATCCCTCTTTTTTCAAATCTATCTTTACCCAATCATAAAAATGACATATGCAATACGTATTTTCATGATGATATGTAAATGTTTGCACAAACATAAATATTATACTTTCTTCAGAATTAATGAGAAAAGGCAAAGACTCATATTTGATGAGATAAAATGATATAAGAGGAACTAGGTTACGTCAACAAAATATGCATTAGATTTTAAAGTAAAGTCAAAGGTTATTTCATCCAGTGGTAATAGAGAATTAAACATGCATTTATTAATACAGTGATAATAATACATTTAATGGTACATTAATAGAAATAATTTAATAATAGATTTAATAGAAAGTAATAATACATTTAATTGGAAACATTTCTACACATGCATTAAATTTACCTAAATTCGCAAATAATAAATTACGAAGCTCTAAGAAAGATTTTCTTCTGGGAGTGAAAAGGAAAACTTTCACATAGTATATAGTTATAAAAACGCGTCGTTTTATTGCGCAGTACATTACACAACGAACACAATACAAACGACTTTTTTTTGCCAAAATAATTGCATGCCTATTGAATATTATTTACCACAAAGCTGTAAATTATTCACACTTAAAGCAATACTTTTTAAATCTATTTTTGAGAGCATTAATACAACACATTCAAAGGCGATATTTAAAATTTTTTGTTTAGATTTTTTCGTTTTTTTTGTTTAGGACTTTTAAGAAACTGTACTGGATGTTTTTTGTTTACGCAACCTTATTTATTTGCAGTATTTTTTTTTGTTGTTGAAATGTATCTGCAAAAACTCATTAAAATATCAAACTAAATGGCATAAATTACAGTGACAGAGTAAAAAATCATGCCAGTATATATTTGTCACCTCATATTCTCTCTGGCCTGGTTTCTTAATCGTAGTACAATATGACCGCTAAAGGCAAAATGCTCAAATGAAGTTCTGCAAACATTTCTCTATACCATTAGAATTTATACGTGATGTTCTGCCATGATGTATTCACGTTTAATGCAGCAGTTAATATGATTTTATAAATATAATAGAATAATCTTAAATGAATAATATAAGTTCCATTTGCTTTGTATCTCCATTGCATTCCTTAAAAGTTAAAAAAATAATTATAAATCGTGCAATATAATAATGATTATGTTTTCTAATAGAGGGAGATACTGATAGTTTTTGTACTTAACCTTTGAAACGTTAATAAATTGTTACTATTTTTAAGTAATTAAAATCGCATTTATTACCATTGTTATAAATTTAAAGATATAATCGTTGGCGTAAAGTTTTAATAACTTTTGTAAAAAACGTAAATTCAAAAGCTAACAATATTGTGCATTGTAATTCCTTAAAAATTTACACTACAGTTTTTTAAATTTGCATTTTTTTGTGAGAATCGGATAAAATATTAAAATGTTTAGATTTGCTCCTTTCAAGTAATATCAATTAGTTATTTCATGCTATTCAGTTATTTCAAGTTATCCAATTAATTCTAAATAACTGTTATGGTGTAAATTATTTTATTAAATTATATTACGCTTATACTCCGTGAGTTTTATTCATCTTTTTACTCAGCAACAAAATATTGTTTTACGTGAATAATTACAACTGAAATTTTAGGGAATTTCTGTAGAACTGTTCATAGTTTGGTTACAATATTATCGTGACTGTTTTCCATTCTATGGAATTTTATGTTGTATAAGCATTTTAATACCTGAATGACTTGACAAAATGATGAAATGACTTAAATGATATTCTGATGGATAATTGATAATAAAATGAAACTTCAAATATATAGGAAAAAAATTTTTAAGATTAAAATAAAAAATCTTGAATTATAAATATTAAAGAATATAACTATGCAGATGAATGTAAATTTGTCAATCCATAAATTAATAATCTTCTTTAATACCGTCATAACATTTAATCATTTTAATGCTTAGGTATCCTGCTATATCACCTGGAGGTTTATATTTGCAGTACAATTTAATTAACTTCTGCTACAAGTAGGAAATCCGATTAATAAAATCAATACTAGGATCATTTCTGCTTCTCGATTTTTAATCACCTCATATCCCTTAGTGTTTTATTTGATTTAATCATTTATCAACGCAACAATGCCATCAGCTACTCGAAACAGAATGAGATGAGTTGTTTAGGGACAATTGTTTAGATGTGTAAAGAAAAAAGAAGCAGAAATGGACGAGAAGGGAAAAAAAATACCTCAAGAAGGGAAAAATACACTCACTCAGAATTATTTTCCCCATCACAGTAATGGGTTTTATTTTCTTTTTTTCTACATTCAGAGGAAACGGAGGTACTTCACTAAAGGGTTAATTTTACGCGTTCAAGAAAGGATAGTGTACTTCGGCTCCAAGTAAGCGAAGATTGATTTTGATGGCGTTCCTTTCACGTAAATGGTTTCTTGTCTTTTGTTTTTTGTTGCTTTCGTATGAGATTTTAAGTTCCTTTCACCCTCAACGGAGAAGGATTAGGCGACGAGAACTAAGGATTCTACTAACTCAAAATGAAAGCTGCGAGAAGATAGGGTTTTGAAGTTGATTTATTTTAAAACAGAAATGTCGGAGATAGGTTAAGAGAAAGGAAGAGCTTTGGTTTTAGGTTATGAAAATTGAGAGGTGATGTAATGTTTAAGTGAAATTTTATGTTGTCCTTTAATTAAAACACCGAGATAAAAGAGAAAAGGCATGGTTTGGAATTTATATATAAATTTCATTTTTCATTTCGGAAACATAATTTGAAGTACAAAATTCTAAGTTTTAGCGGCTGTAAGCAACCTCTGAAAGTGTTAGTGCTATTAAACTGACATATTTTGTATGAATTTTGAAATAAAAGCTTTGATCTAATTCAAGAATGATAAAAAGTTTAGCATACTTTAAATATCACAATTTATTAAGTAATACAATGTCTTGCTTAAAATGGATATAAGGGATCTAGTTTGCACTAATAAATATATTCAAGATTAAGTTTAAATTAGATAATCTATTAGATATTTAGTATTACATTGATAGTTTTATCATATTTTACTTGTTTAGGAACAAAAATATTATACATAAAATAAATTAATTAAAAAAAAAAATTTATAATTTTTCCTTTATATTTTTTTACATATTTTCTTTTATATATTTTTTGTATAAAGTATTACATATAGAAATTATTAAAGAAAACTTCACATCATTATTTACATAATTTATAATGCTTTTCATATTAACTAATTTATTCATTATATTGTTTTGAGAAAAATTATTACTTTTATTGCTATTTATGCAGCAGAAAACAGCAGAATAACTCTTCAAGTAATTAACTTTTGTAGCATTAATAAATGCTGCAAAATTTAACTTTTTAGAAAGAGCTATTTACTAAGTGTCAGACATTATTTATGTATGCATTTCTGCCATGAATTCCACAGTTATTACATTATCTAAAAAGTAAAAATAAATAAACTTTCTGTCCATAACATTTCACAAAACAATTTTTCCCCCTAAGAGAGTCTAATTTAACTGAAGTGACTACTTTTTTCGTTGTATGGACTAAAGCACACACTTAACAAAACAATAACTTACTATTATTAAAGACCTTTTTTTATTTACTCATCTCTTTAACTATTTATTGAGTGTTAAAAATCACACGATTCCCCATGACAGAATTAAATCGAAATAATTTATTTCCGTGGCATTCAATATCTATTAATTCATCTTGCAACTATTTTGAACGTTTCCAATTTCATTCAAAAATAATTGGCTTGCAAGATAATAATTTTTTCTTATTAATTACATATTTTTAGAGTAAAAATGAAATCAACATTCAAAACTGTCATGACAACATTTTGTAACCTCCAACATCTAATTTGAAAAATATTATCTAATTTCTTTCTATCTTGAAGATTTACAGACTTCTCATTGTTTTTTTTAAAATATAGATGTTGCCATTTTTTCTCACTAACCCCTTCCTTCTCGCTCCCGTGAAAATGACGGGGTGAGATTTCGCCCACTATTCCGTGATATTGACGGGCTGGAGTGTTCTGTAGTAACGCGCCAATAAGAATAAAACTGATTCGTTTCTTTTGCCCAGGAAACATTTTATTTCTCATTTTACATACCTGATGGCAGCACCAGGATGTTTTAAGGTAATTGTAGATAGTTAGTTTATTTTAAACTAGTTGCAGCACTAATAAAGTACATAATACAAATACAAAAGCCAGAAAATAGGCACTTTTATGACCGTTTTCTTGAAAATTTACCGATCGTTAAGGGGTTAAATATGTAGCTCCATGTTGAAATAGATTAAGGTTTTTTTTTTCATTTTCATAATATAGTGGGAATAAAATTTTCCTGATTTAATTTAATTTTATAATAGCATTGAACAACAGACCAAAATCCCTAGTTTACGACTATAAATGCTCTACTCCGTAGCCTTATAATTTTAAATCCAACAGAGGAGTCAAAGGAATTCCTGGATCAAACATTGGAACAAACTAGCTTTAGCGAAAGCCTTTTGGATGGAAATAATATGCATTCGCGTAATATATAGAACAAAACCACTAAAACCCCCCAGATGGCAAGGAGATTCTAAACCACGCTCCGTCAACTACAATAATGATTTCACGTCAGCACTGTGGTTGGTGCGAGCCAGGTGCAGAATTCGTATCACCCAGTCACCACGGCTCGAAATAGGAATATTTTATTTTATTTTATTACTGTCGTTGAACAGCCAACCTACATCTCTGTTTACGACCATCAATGTTCATCTCCGTAGCCTTGTAATTTCGAACCCAACCTGGAATTAATGGTAATTTCTGGATCACACATTGGGAGAAATTAGCCTTCATGGTGGACTCTTTGATTGAACTATCCCAAATTTGCCTTTTATGGAGAGGAAGATCACGAAAATATTCGATGGTTATCTGACAACAATGGTACTCTAACAAATGATCCGTCTACTACCGAGGATATTTTCCGTCAGCACCATGGTCGGAGAGAGCAGATGGTCATTCGTATCAACCATTCATCACTGGCATTCAAACCTGGATCATCTACTTGAGAGTCGAATGCTCCATTCCCTGAGACACAGTTGCTCAAAATTATCATATTAATTAAAACAGTTTAATACGCCTAACAATTTAAGATTAAGTCTTTCTTAATGTTATATTTTGCATCCGCTCCAAATAGTCAATATAAATTCATATAAATAATTTCTTCTTTATGCTCTATATTTCTTTCTTTGAGATAGTTCATTACGGTGAAAGATGTTTTCCAAGCGTATCATTTGTCACTTTTCTCAGTAATACTAGCACAGATAAAAATCTTTGATAGTTACAGTGGCATTCTGTTTTTAATCTTTCCTCGTAGGAAAGTAATCGTTTGTGATTGATATGGGTAAACTCTGGTGACTAAAACTATTATTCTGTAGCTTTTGATAAATTTGTCTCATTAATAACGATTCTAGAAAACGTGAAGAATAATATTACTTTTGGGGCTACTGCTGAACGCCAGGAATGTTTCAAAACCTACCTACTTCAAAATATTGCAGAATGATACTTTTGATATGAGGGAAAGATAAATTATAAGTGTCTGATATGTAGTTAAAATACAAGTTTTTTAATTTACGAAATATAAATATAAATTGATGTTGAATGTGCCGTTCATTGCAATTAATTACATATACAGTGCAATTTGATCATTACGAATTTGCACAGCCAAGGAAGGTTTTGCACTAATTCTTCAGTAAATCAACCTAGGAATTTTAACTGTATTCATCCAAGAAACAATATAAAGAAATAAAGTTACTATGGGATAAGTAATTTTTGTGGCAAGTATTGAATCACAAATAATAAATATCATTGGTGTATTCATATTGTTTAATGTAAATTTGAAATTAAAAAAATATAAATTGCTTAGCGCAATTGATTTGGAGGAGAATTGAGGATTATTTTTATTGTTCACGCTGTAAGAAGAGGGACATTGTTTAGAAATTTTATTTCAAAATAATCAATGAATTAAACTTTATCCATATTTTAAATTACTAACACTAAGTGATAAGTTATTTATTTCTTTTTTTTTAGAAACTCCTTCTCAAGAAGAATCAAACAGGTAAGATATTTATTTTTGGAATTTTTCAAAATACTGAAACTTGTTCTTTTTAAACTATTAAAATGAAAAAATTTAATGTAAGTATTCGCAAGGAAACTTCATAAATCCTTTGTCAATCATCACACAGCAAGTTCAATAAACTTTTTATGCATGTCACGTTTAGTTGTAATCAATAATGGTTTTTCAAACGAATGAGTCATGCACTTAATATTTTGAAGAAAAACACTTATTCAAGAAAAAAACATATTGAATAACAATTTCACAACAAAATATTATGACCTACGTGACTAAATATTGTGACTAAAATGCATGTGTTTATAAATCATTTATTTCAAGTTTGCTGGCAATATAATGTAACATATTATGCTGCAAATTTTGTCCCAAAATTTAGTAGAAAATAAATATTTCAAATTTAGATAAAAGAAGCTAAGGAGCAACCCAAATAAGGAAAAAATAAATCATGAATCATATTTTATTACTTAAAAATGATGCATATTTAAATTCCGCAAAATAAATATTTTATAATTGCAATCAAAAACTATTAATGAGAAATTTAAAAATTTAACTATAGCTTCGTAATCTGAATTTATTGATCATCATTTTTAGAACACTTTATCATTATTACGATTATACCAGTAACAGAACTGATGCGACATGGTAACAATCACCGTAGATTTATTTTAGCCTTGCAAGCAAAATATATCAAGCCTTTTTTTTTACTTTTCTTAATTATTTTTGCAACTGTAGATAAAATTAAGTTAAACTAAAAGAAACTATCGCCTTTGCTTTTTTTCTGTTTTTCTTTTCATTTCTCAGTAACGTATTATAGCTTAATTTATTCCCGAAAATATGTTGAGTGAGTTAAAGTTAAAGAACTCTAAAGCTTCATGAAAAATAATTATTGCACACTTTCATTTCCTTTCTCTACGCTCTGTTTTAGTTTTCAGAATAGAGCTTGAAATGCAAAATCCTTTTGTTTAAAGAATAAATTTTAATTTTTAAGTTTTAGTATATTTTAAACTATTTTAAACTTGGTTTGCTTTCCAAATATCTTTCGTTTACCTGAGTTTTAATGAACTTTTTGAAAAAAAAATATTGATTTATTTAAGAAAGCTAAAAATAATTTAATTTTACTGTCATACAGTTTTATTTTCTTTATTTAATAAATTTCAAACTAAAAGCATTACAATTCACCCAATTTATGGGCTTTCTTTTTGCAGTGTAATTATAACATCATGCATTAGATATTCTTATCCTTCAAAACATATGGAACTAGAGGGTGTTTTATTCAAATATTTTGGCACAAGCTCAACACGTTGTAGAATTTTTAAATGATGTAGAAGATGAATACAGGCTTTACTGCTGCTCAGAATAACACGTTATCATTACTGTAATTATATTAATTTACACATTATTATTACTGAAATTATATTAAAGAACACAGTCCATATCTACATGGGTCACTGCAGTTTAACAAAAAAAATAAATAAAACTAAGTGTTAACAACATGAAGGTTTTCGCACATTAATTGCCTTTAGTATACACATTTATAGAAGCTTTAAAAATGAAGTTGAAAGTTGTATGCACCTTAGCCGTGCCGATATATTTAAGCGTGGAGGAAAAAAGTAATGTTAGCAGAAATTTTGAATTACTCGTTTAGGAATCACCACCTCAGATTTAAAAAAAAAAAAAAAAAAAAAAAAAAAAAAAAAAAAAAAAAAAAAAAAAAANAAAAAAAAAAAAAAAAAAAAAACTAGCTTGATTACCTGATGAAACTTTGAGACGTTTCACATGTTCACTTTATGGTTTCTCCATAGATTAAGCAGGTTATGATGTTATCAGTCTCACATTTCTCGGTATTGATTAATGAGATTTTGATAGAGCTTTTAATTTTTTCTTTGTTTTCCTTGGTCAATGTTTTACTACATTTATAAAAGGATTCTAAAATTTTATATTAAAGTTGCATATTGCAAAGCTCCATGCACATTGTCAAAAAACATTTTCATTGTTTATGGCCAGAAAATGGTTTTTGAAACTACAGTATATAATCAGGAATAGTTTAATTGGTAAATTTTAAGATGCAAAAAAAGTTAAAATACAATATATCGCCCAATAAAAGAGTACCATACGTCTCTACATCATGGTTTTCATTACATTTGGTATAAAAAGAACTACGGATATGTATATCATATTTTATAAAACAATTCTATTGATATGCATCCTTGGCGAAATAAAGTCTACTGATTTATTTCCCTCTCATATTTAGGTGTGAAACTCCACTAAAGAAGGAATTGGAAGACAGCCAAGACACCAGCGAGAAGGGACCAGACATCATTCCTTTCGCCAACGATACAGAAGGTATGCAATATTATTTATACATTGAAATATTGTTAGATATAGTTTGAACGACAAAATTCGAAATGGAATTCGTAAAATATTTGAAAGATCTGGTAATAATGTTGAATTTCTTTTCTTTCAATATTCTTAAGCTTATTTTCTTTAGAATACCCTTTAAGAATTTTGCGCATCCGTTCCTATATTTAAAATTCAAGGCAATGTCTGAAATTCGCTTCAGAGATGCATGACTTACATGAAGAAATATGTACAATAATATAATAATAAAAGTTTCCCTATTTAAATCAATGTAACTTGGAGATATCTAAATTAAATTTAAATGTTGCCATAAAATGATAAAGTTAGCGTGAATAGTTTCTACATGTTTAATATGTTATTTCTGTGGGATAGGAACTCTTCAAGAACTTCTAAAGTTACATTACTGTTCACGATTGCTACAACCTTAGAACGGTTTCATCTATATAACTGAGTTATATGAGACAAGTATTTTTAATGTTTTATACATGGTACCAAGTATATGAGACATGTACCGACCCAAACAGACCATGATCGCACAGACGTGATTTCAATTTGGAATATTTCATTTCAATTTTATAGCGTTACTAAGTAGCAATTGAAGTTCGTTAAAATTTCGAAAGATATGTCTCATGCGTCTGAACTTCAAACTGAGCTTTCATTTCCGAGTTGTTTTTTTTCCTTTTTTAATCTAGAGTATTTAAATAAATTAAAAATTGCGCGTGTTCATCTCTTTCGAGTGGCTTAGACTACTAGACTATTAAAGTTACAGCTCTGCTTGTTTTCGTTTATATTTAACAGGAGAGGGAAAATGATTGAATGCTTATTGGGTGTAAATTTGTCTTTTGCAGATTGCAATTTGCTAGATAGTATTTAATATGCAATGGATCCGTTTTTTTTCCTTTACTTTTATATTTACTTAATTTTTTTTAACTATCTCGAACGTTTCATGACAGTGTACTCAAGTACTATCAATTATAATAAACAGTAAATGTCAGCGTGTTTAACTACAGCTGTGATTTTCCTAAAATTTTTAAATGAAATTAGGGATCAATTAAAGGGAAAAATTACCCTGTCCCGTGCGTAAGTATACACTGGGGGTGTTCAGATCTGGGAAAGACCTTATCTCTGCTTTCGCCAGTTATGAATTTATACAGTTTAAAATACTGACAAAACGTTTCAATTTTGAACCAAATGTTTTGAGAGTGAGTAATGCTTCAATAAAAAGTTTTCATACTTCTCGAAAAAAGTAGAAGTGTTCATTGAAAGAAATCTTACGCTTATATTTCGGAAGAGAAAATACAGCCTATAATTACCGAAAGACTTAATTTCTTTTCAGCACACAATGTTAAATTCAGAATAAATTTATGGTACATAGTACCATCACTTTGTATGCATTATTCGGAAAGGCCATTTTACCGTAAAATAGACCTTACCAAAATTTTTAAAATAATATTTACTTGATTAGAGTGATTCAGTGATTTGACAGCAATTATTACTGTAAAAATTATGGTGCATCAGATTTTTTGTTTCATTGCATATTTCAGTAAAAATAAATTTTACTGTGAAAAGTTCCTGCACCCTAAGTGCCAGTATTTTTTACTGTAATTCAATCCGTAATTTTTTACGACTGTGCCATGGAACGAACATTGTTCCATGTTTAACGACGAGCTTCCGATCACAAGGAATGTCCCACTGGAATACCATCTTCTAGATTGATTTTTACGATAAAGAAATTTTCAAAATTCTTACAGAGTCAACATTAGCGTTTTACTTTTTTTCCCTTCAAATAGTTTTCAAGGATTATATTTTAAATATAATTCGAGGATTTCAAATAAAACAACTCACTTATGTTTCATGTTTCACAAGACTGATAACGTTACAATTAGACGTAACTAATAATTTAAAAAAAAACTGTAAGCTATTAAAAGTATTTGAGAAATTAAAAAAACCTTTTCGAAATAGGAATGTAACATTTTGTGTTTGCAGTGACTTTTGACAGTTTTTCTTTTGCATGAGAAGATTCCCTAAAACTGTAATTTTCTAATCATTTGTGTTAGTTTAGCTTATTCTAGGTGAAATAATTTCTTTACTCCAGAGAGACGACTTCTGGTTAAAAGGATTTTTTTTTATAATGAAATATTTTTTAAAAACTATGCATATAACAATGTCTAATATAATTCAGATTTTAAAGCGCATAAAACGTTTCTTTATTGTTATTCTGAGAAAAAAAAGTATGGCAAAAATTACCAGAAAATGGTAAATTTTAGCGTGTTTCTGGATCTATGAGAACACTAAAAAGCTCGGTAATTTTCTCGAAGTGTTTTAACAATAAAATATATTTTTATAATATGTGATAAAATTTGGAGAAATTGAAGAAATTTGGTAAACTTATTATGATACCTTAGAGTATGGCATAGAACGATATAAAACCATGGCATAGTTTGTTAAATTTAATTTTAAACTTCGTATTTTTTATTAAATGTGTGGTAATAAGAACTATGATTTTAAAACCAGGACATCAAGTAAACCATTACCATATCGATGAAAAAATTACCAAATTGGTTTAAATACAGAAATACCATATATTTCAGTTTTTTATTACCAGAATTATGGCAATTTTACCAGAACTATTTTTTGCGTGTATTCCCTGTAATTATTTCGCAACATGTTCATGAAAGCCTAAATACACATTTACATTTTGCAAAAATATTTATTTTCAAACTTATGAAACGACATTCAATCACAACTATTTGAATTTAGATAAAAAACAATAATTCGAAACAACTTTAATGAAGTATATTATATCTTAGAATAAAAATATCTTACAATAAGCGACAAATGCATGTTGCTTGAATTCTGTTACATTCCATAAAATTTGTTTCGATAGAGACATTCCATGATATTACAACAAACTTATCCAAACTTTTATTTAAAAAAATTTCAGAAACAGCTCGAAAGAAACTTTAAAAAAAATATTTTAAAACAATAGATAAATACAAGTCGCTTTCATTCTCTCTAAACCTATAAAAATAAATTTTTTACATGTTTAGATAGATAGATTAATAAGTCACATTCTGTTAATTGTGTCTCGATAGAAACTTTCCATGATATTACAACATATTTATTCAGACTTTGATTAAAAAAAAGAAAATTAGAAACAGCTCCAGAGAATAATAATAAAAATTAAATATTTCAAAACAATTGATAAATGCAAGTCTTTTTATTCTATTAACACGTATAGACATCTAAACACATAAAAAAAATTTTTTTCATGCTTAGATAGGTAAATAAATAGATTTAGATAGATAGATAACTAAGTTACATTCTGTTAAATTGTCCCTCGATACCAACTTGGAAATTTTCCATGATATTACAATGTATATAGTCAAAATATTTTTAAAAAAATTTAGAAACAGAGCCAAAAAAAAGTTTTAAAAAATTGTTTCATAACAACTGATAAATGCAAGTCAAAAAGTCACTTTCATTCCATCTAAACAAATAAAAAATTATTTTTTGTCGTGTTTTGATAGATAAATAGCTAGATTTATATAGATAGATAAATAAGTTACATTCTGTAAATTATCTCTCGATAGAAACTTACCATGATATTGCAACATACACATTCAATGGATTTAAAAAAATTTTTAGAAATAGTGCCAAAGAAGATTAAAAAAGCAAAAAAATGTTTTGAAACAACCGAAGTAACTTTCCTCTTCTCTGTAAAGAAAGTTAGTTTTCTTGGTGTATTCTAATTGCTAAAAATAAAATGAATGGTTTTTATAAAGTTCAGTAAAGCACACTCTTAAAGAGAAAAAATTGTTATTTTCGATCTTTCAGTCTACTTCACTGGTGGCTCCACAGAACAGCTGCGACATATCCGATCAATACAGAAGCTGTCTGCGTCTCCAACAGAATTCAGAGAAAGACCTTTGGATACCAGATTATAGCCTAAGTTGAGGGATAAAACTAATCTCTCACTCGATGGTAAGCAAAATAATTTGTTAGAAGAATTATCTTTTTTAACAGCATCTCTTTAAGCACTATTTATCCGAACCACATGGTTTATTTTTAAAAATAGCGAAAACTTATTTTTTTAGGAGAAAAAGATAAGAGTTAACTGAGTTTGATAAATTTTTTTATTTAAAAAATATTATTTATTTAAAGGATAAGAACAATAGAAAATAGAAAACAATGTTATCTTCCTTCTGTTCATGTGCTCAACGTTTCAGTATGAGCCCATGAGATCCATTAAGAAGTTTTTCCCGGTTAAATTTCTACCACGTTGTAAAAAAATTACTGATTAAATTGCGATAAAAAGTACCGGCACTTAGAATGTCAATATTTTTTACAGTAAAATCCATCTTTACTTTGAAATTTTACGTAACAAAAAATGTAATATGCAGATATTTTTGCAGTAATATTTAATGCAAAACAACTGAATTATTGTAACTAAATTAATATTACTATAAAAATTACTACACTTTTACTGTCAAACAGTTATAAAATTCATTTAATAGATTCACTCAGGATGCCAGTATTTCTTGTTCGAAATTTCCAGTTCATTTTATGAGCCATGTGACCATCTCAAATTTAGTCCGTTTTTTTCCCTCGTATACTTCTTGATATGACTTTAATTATTTGTTTTTTTGGTTAAGTGGTCTATATTGAATATACTTTAGCAATTTGAACAGAATTATCTGGCGTACTTTGTAAAATCAAAATAACGTATCGTTGTACAAGTATTACGCTGTAGAAATTAATCCATATAATGCACATTATTATACAACACTATGTTTTGAATGAAAATATAGTTCAGTTTAACACTCTGTTACGGTTACAGTTAATTGGCACGATTCTGTAGACTTCAAGAGACTACCACAGTTCAAAATACCTACATAAAATCTGACACTTAAATCTGTTTTAATGAGATTGCAAAATCTGTTACTATTTTGGCATTATTGCCAATGAAGTAAAGTTGTGTAGCTCTTGCAAGAAAACTAAATTTTTGGCATAAAAACTTTACATACTAATATTTTTAGAACATTACTTACTATATACATACATATATACACTGGTTATCATAAATTAAGGAAAAATCACAAAAATAGCGATAACTCTTTCAAAAGTAAGCCAAACCGTGCAAAATTTGCATATGTTGTCCACTAAGAGTAGCTGAGTAAAATTGCAATATGCAAATTAGTGGCGCTGCACTCGGCTTACGTCATCTGCCTGGAGCATAAAAGTCCAAGTTTGAGAGAAAGCACACAAATTTTACTGTGATTGCGACATTGAAAATCTGAGATAGCCAATTCGTAATAATGACCTCTAGGCATCATTTGCCTGAAGAACTACGATGGAGAGC